GCTGCTCCGACCTGGACAGCTTTGCTCCGAAAGCTTCCGCGAGGCTTGGCTCAAGGGGGGTTACCGAGGGGTAGCCCCGCTCGGTGAACCCCTCCACTCTGGTGATAGGTGCGTACTGTGGAGACTGGCTCCCCCAATCTACCAGGAAAGAACCGTCTGTGGCCTCGCCCGTAGGACGTCCTGTTGGAACACGAGGCCATATGGATCAAGATGGTGAGCCGGTGGAACCCAGTAAACAACCTTCCCGCCGGCTCATCTGAACTGGCGGGAAAGGCGTGGGACGTAGAAAAAGGGGTCCCTTCATGTCAGCCGCCTCCTGGGTTACGCCGGGCAACCCCTGAGGGCGCCGTCGGCCGGAGCGGTGTGATCGCCGATGCGAAACGAGGTGGGATGGGGTGAGCATTCACTCAGCCCCCCTCCACCGACACTACGCTCTCCAGGAGGGAATGAGCAGCGGGGGGCTGCAGCTGAGCGCGCCTGTCCCGGAGGAACCATCCGATTTGCTCCAAGGGTCGGCAATAAGAGGAAAATTACAAGATGGCGTTGTCCAGCGTGTAGTGACCTGTCACTGAGAAATATTCCTCGGTGCTTACCTTGAAATAAGACTGCTCGTCAGCTTCTCCTCGGGGAGGAGAACTCACCGGACGACCGGAGGTCGACTGCCGGGCCAAGCATCCTTAACAAAGGTTGGTCATCTACACAATTTTCCTTCTTTGTTTTTCTGACAATGCTATTAGCTCGCTGAAGAAAAAATGGGAGCCGATTTCCCGCTCTTAACATAATTTATACGGACCGGGTAGGGCCCACACAGCAGGTGGACTAAATTTTTCAGTGCAATGCTCCACATAATGGGATAAACCCACCAAGCGACAACCTTAAAGGGCGAAGCTTATACGAAATAGAACTGGTTCATACCAAAGATCTAGTCCCCCGGCACAAACAGAGTAATATTGTGTATGCTGTTCAGTGTCAGGAGAGCTGTGATCAGTCTAACAACAGGGAAACTAAACAGCCACTGGCCAAAAGGATGGCCCAGCACAGAAGATCAACAACATCAGGCCAGGACTCTGCGGTCTACACTCATCTCCAGGCCAGTGGTCACTCTTTCAGGGATGATGATGTTCACATCCTGGACAGAGAGGAACGATGGTTTGAGAGAAGAGTAAAGGAGGCCATATTTGTGAAAAGAAATCGACCATCGTTAAACAGGGGTGGAGCCTCCGGGTTCAAATGTCCCCCTCTTACAATGCTGTTATTGCTAGTATCACTCAGCCTCCTGTGAATAGTAAACAGCCATCAGGTGCTAATGATCCATTGTTAGGCTGATGGTCCTTCTTGATCATGTGAGCAGATGGTTTTGGTTGTCAGCAGCAAACTGGTTGATCCACTCTGAGAAGGTGCTATTTAAGAGACTGAGCTGAATACAGCACCTCAGACTGAGGAAGTCTTTCGGATGAAAGATGAAATGTTTCTACATTTTTTTTTTTTTGCTTTGTTGGTTTTATTTGAATGTCCAGAGGACCAGACTCAACTTTTTTAGATGTTTCTACCTGGATTATTGAGCATGCATCAGGATGTACAAAAGCAACATTTCACCTAGATTTCCTTTAATTCCACACATTTAAATCATGTTTCTCACCAAGTTTGTGTAAATTCAGCTGTGGGTTTTAAAGACATTTTAACTTTAATACACTTTAATACAGAGCGTCAGTTAGGCAGTATTTGCCTTTATAGAGAAATAAAAAACATCACCACTGGACTTTTTTACTTGTGTTCAACACTACTCATCTAAATGATGTTTCTCATGAAGATTGAGGACAATAAGGCGTGGGGTTTTAAAGACATTTCAACTTTAATGCACCTGAACACACAGAGTCTCTTACACCTGCAGTGTCTCACAGCGTCACAGTTACTGCTAAGCTAACATGCTACAAATGTAGCTCCTCTCAAGCATCCTCCTAACATGAATACATGTTTATGATCAACCCCCCGGTCAACCTCTGCCAGCACTAAGCTGCTAAACTGGCGAGTGATCAACGCAGAGGTGTCTCCATCTCCTCCACCTGTGCGTGTTGGGAGGAGATGTAGAGGAGAAACAGTGCATGCAGCAGGCTGCTGTGTTTAGAGTTGGAGGTAACCAGGAAAACCTGGAGTGCAGTTTTAGTGGTTTGAGTATTCTCCTATTAAACAAGTGGAATGGATTTGTTCATGAAGAAAGAGAGACTGCGCCGAATGAACTAATGTTTCATTGTAAAAGTGTGTGTGTGTGTGTTGGGGGGGGGGGGGGGGGCAAATGAACTTTTTTTTAATGTGGGAGGACATGTCCCCTTCACATATAATGGTTGTGATGCCTATGGTCAGAGGAATCATTTGTCCATCTATGTGCCATAATTCTATTTCTGGCTCTTCGCGTTCTTATTCCTTGACTGCATTTGATCAAGTGACGTTATGTGACATTTCATCTTTATTTGATAAAATGAAAATTTCTACCAGTCCAAATGACATTATTTCGGCAATGTTGTTAAAAAATATTTTTTTCTGTCATTGGTCCCTGCATTGTAGATATTTGCAATGATTCTCTTTCAACAGGTGTGTTTCCAAGCTCATCCAAGCATGCTGTTGTTGAGCCATTATTAAAAAAAGCAAACCTGGATCACCTGGATCCTACAAAATTTGGAAATTACAGGCCAATCTTCAAGATCCGTTTTTTTCAAAGCTTCTTGACAAAGTAGTAGCTGAGAAGCTAATCACTCACGTGGAAAAATTGCTCACATGGAAAAACATGAGATTTTTGACAAATTTCAGTCTGGGTTTCGAAAGCTCCACTCCACAGAGGCTGCTTTACTTAAAGTTCCCAGTGATATTTTGATGTCAGCTGACTGGAGGATCCACTGTGATGGTTCTCTTAGATCTAACATCTGCTTTTGACACTGTTGAACACAGTATTTTGATTAACAGGCTACGGGATGTAGTCGGTCTATCAGGCTTGGCACTGGAGTGGTTTATCTCCTATCTTTCTGGTAGAACAATTAGTGCTTCTGCAAACCAAATAATGTCAGAATCCAAGAGCCTGATATGTGGGGTACCTCAGGGCTCAGTGTTGGGATCTATTCTCTTTCTTTTGTATGTTTTCCCCTTCAGCCAAATAATAAGTCAGTTTTCAGATGTGTCTTATCATTTCTATGCTGATGATATTCAACTATATAGTTCCTTCAGGCCTTCTGAACATCACAAATTGTCCTCCTTGTTAAATTGTATTAGCAATATCAAACAGTGGCTCAGTGACAACTTTCTGCAACTTAATTGTGACAAAACTGAAACCCTAATTATTGCTCCTGACAATCAAATATATGAAATTAAACAACACCTCGGTGTATTGGCCTCTTCTGTCAAACCAAATCTCAGAAACCTTGGCATTATTTTTGATTCTGCCATGTCACTGCACTGCCACTCTCGTGGATTAATCAGAAATTGCTTTTTTCAACTAAGAAATATTTCTAGGTTTAAGTCTCTTGTGTCAAAAGCCAAATTAGAGAGGATTATCCATGCTTTAATTACATCCGTCTGGATTATTGTAACAGTCTTTTCATGTGTTTGACTAAGAAGGATCGTGATCATTTGCAGACAGTTCAGAATGCTGCTGCAAGGCTTTTAACCATCACACGGAAAAGAGAGCACATAACACCAGTTTTAATCTCTTTACATTGGCTACCGTACGTTTTAGAATACATTAAAAAGTTTTAGTTCTTACTTTTAGAGCCCTGAGTGGTCAAGTCCCAGTCTACATTTCTGACCTTTTACAGCCCTACTCCTCTTCTCGGAGCCTCAGATCTTCCAGTCAAAGGCTGTTAATGGTCCCATGAACTCATTTTAAGACCAGAGGGGATAAAGCTTTTAGGGCTGTGGCCCCCAGACTGTGGAATGCATTGCCTCTGACTTTGCACTGTCTTGATTCTCTAAATTCTTTTACAAAGCAGCTGAAGACACATTTGTTTAGACTGGCTTTTAATTAATTTCATATTGTGTTATGTCATACGCATGTTGTTTTATCTTTTATCGTTTGTGTTTTTATCTTTTATCTTGTGTTTTTATGTCTTATTCTGTAAAGCACTTTGTGGTTTCTGATCTGTAAAAGGTGCTATATAAATAAAGTTTACTTACTTGATGATGTGATATTTGATGATATTTGATGATGTGATATTTGATGATGATATTTGATGATGTGATGTGTCAAGGGACTGCAGATGCAAATTAGCTTTTGCTATAATCTGGAACAGCACATCAAATGGCAACATTTATGTTTGAGTTCTGCATTGTCCCTTTTTAAATAAAGTTCAATCAATCATATTTGATGTGGCAGCACGGTGGCGCAACTGGTAGAGCTGCTGCCTCTCAGCGCGCAGGTCCCTGGTTCAAATCCCGGTCCAGGGGCCTTTCCGGGTGGAGTTTGCATGTTCTCTCCGTGCATGCGTGGGTTTTCTCCGGGTACTCCAGTTTCCTCCCACAGACCAAAAACATGCATGTTAGGCTGATTGGTAACTCTAAATTGTCCCTAGGTGTGAGTGAGAGAGTGAATGGTTGTTTGTCTCGTTTGTCTCTATGTGGCCCTGTGATGGACTTGCGACCCGTCCAGGGTGTACCCCGCCCCTCGCACAGTGATAGCTGGACATGGGCACCGGCGACCCCGTGACCCAAAATGGAATAAACGGGTAAAGAAAATAGATGGATGGAATATTTGATGATGTTATTGGATGATGTGATATTTGATGATGTGATATTTGATGATGTGATATATGATGAGATGATAAATGTGGGATTAAAAGTTGTATTTAGTGTATTTAACAAGGTTGATTGTTCCTCTCAGGAACACAAGAGTTTAATAAAGTTACTGTGAGAGCAGCCAAACAAATTCTAACACAATAAAAAAGGTAGAAGTATTGTTGGACTGTATAAATGTTGACTACATCCACACACAGGCTTTGTGGAGCTCTGTCACTCACCGTCCAAGATCATGCGGGCAGCAATGGCTGCTGGGTAACCTACAGTCTTGGCCATGGCGGAGAAGCCATTGGGGTCCCCGTAAACCACCAGGCTGATGTGTTTGGTCTCCAGCTCGCCCGTCGAATGTCGGATGCCCACATCGTTTCTCATGACGATCATGTCTCGCTCCCTCTTACCTGACGGGAGGTCGGGGGTGAGGTTTAATTTGTGTACCTGCAGGTATCTACAACCGTGTTGCTGCGCTCAGGAACTCACCAAAAGAAAGTCTGCTCTCCAGATGTTTAGCAAGTGCGCTCAGAGTGCTGTCAGCATGAGGAACCGGGTCCTCTCCCAGCAACCCAAACCTGAAGAACAGATTTTGGAGTCAGCTGTGTTAGCAAAATATCACATGGCTGTACATCTATAACTGGATTCAACTTAAGATGGCCACTCAATGTCCACTCTAAGCTACACACCTGTACAATCGCACACTCCTCGCACATTCTCTCCGAACTAGAAAATCTATGCTGCACAGTTGCAAACTGGCCACAGGGTTATCTCCCGTTTTATAATAAACTGTCAGCCTGAGCGCAGCAGTCTGTACAGTGCAGCCACCTGATGTGTGCAGAGTGGGGGACGAAACCCTCCCCTCCGGTCAAAACAGACCTGTGTCACATGATTTGTGTATCCAGCCAATCAGTGTCTTCTGGAGTTTCAGCGCTGACATGCAAACTAAGTTCAAAGAAGCTACGTAGCTATAAGCAACCTTGACTTCTTGCTTTTTTTCAAGCTTTGTTACTACATATTTCATCACATACCGAGGAATAATATTTGGCATCGTGGATTTATCACAGAAGTTTACGATCGTATGACGTCAAACAAAGGTGGTAAGTAAGCTAATCCCATGACTTGTAGCCATTTTTATCATGCTAAGTGTTAGCAAACAGTAGTGCTTGTTGTAAATCTGGATGGTCAAAGGAAAAGTTTACAGACAGTGGTGAGACCAGCTATGTCAAGGGTCGGCAACCATAAATGCTTAAAAAGCCATATGGACCGTCTCCCAACAACAAAAAAACACACAGAGCTGCAAAACCCCTTTGAAATCTAAAATGAGATTTTTTTTAATCAGTTTTTTTTTACGTATATGTATAAAAAACATGTTGCATTTATGAAATCAATTAACTGCTAGAGAGAACACAACATTTTATTTCTGCATGTAACAAAAATATTTTGAACTCCGAAATAAAAGATGCTTGGATTAGGGCTGGCCAATAATTCGACATTAGTATATGTCACAATATACCTTTATTCAATAACAATGATATGAGTTTCAAGCACATTTTCAATATTTCGATATGATTACAGTGTTTCACTGATGCATTTCTTTTTCTGTTCGGGTTGAAGCAGCCAGGAAGCAGCCACTTCAGTTTCAACCCGAACAGAAAAAGCCGCAACACAAATACGTAAGTGCGTGGTAACCAGTGATGTCAGTAATGAGTTACTCTAATCGGACCACTTTTTTCAGTAACTAGTAATCTAACACGTTGCTATGCCAAAATCCAGTAATCAGATTAAAGTTACTTATCCAAATTACTGTGTGTGTTACTATTTTTGTCATTTTCCCTAGTAATTTAATTTTATTTCCTCTATGCGTCTCGGGGCCGGGACGTGATGTCAGCTCTATGCCACAATTCAGTCACATTATCATCACCTGTGACAGCACGCTGTGACAGAAATGCAAACAATGGAGCAAGGAGGAAGATACACATTTTGTAGCTGGAAACTAGAGGATGACATTTTCTCGAGAGTACCGCCGGTCATGTGATTCTGGCCAGATTCCGGCGGGACCGGAGTCAACCTCATTATAACTCACGTGACCGGGACGTGACCGGACTGAAAGCTAACTGGAGCAGACAGGAGCGGGAACCAACCAATAACCGAAAATGAAACAAACAAACAAACAAAAAACACGGGCACAGCTATTTTGTAGTTTTTTTTCCAGTAAGCATTCACTTTAACACAAGTCAAAAGGACTACATTTCCCAGGAGTCAACTGTTCGAGCCGTAGCTTTTCACCGAGAGGGTGTGAGGAGCAGCGAGCAAAGCAATACAGAGTAACTGAAAATAGTTTGCAACACAAGGTAAGAAGTAACTGTCTGTCTATTAAACTCACAGAACAGGCAGGAAAGTGTCAAATAACCCTGAACTTCATGATAATAATAATAATAATAGTAATGAATTTAATTTGTAACGCACTTTTCATTAACAAAAATCTCAAAGTGCTACAGAGTGCAACTAAAATCAATGATAAAATCAACTAAAATCTGTGATAAAATCAACTAAAATCTGTGATAAAATCAACTAAAATCTGTGATAAAATCAACTAAAATCAATGATAAAATCAACTAAAATCTGTGATGAAATCAACTAAAATCAATGATAAAATCAACTAAAATCTGTGATAAAA